ACAGGAGGAGGAAGCTTCTGTGATCCTGCTGCACATGTGAAGTGACTCCAGTACTGGTGGAACCAGCTGACTGATTCAGATCTTTCCATTCCAGCATCCCTAACACATCTCTCATTCCTCTGCCTTTCATGGTGGTTGTTGTCAAGGAAGGGGAAACACCAACTAGTTTGTTATTTCATTAAGCAGAGGAGCTGGTCATGGAGAGGAGGGAGGATGAGCAACTGAAATCACCTGGATAAGAAATCAGCTGGAGCCCTGCCTGTCAAATATGCCCTCCAGGATGTTCCTCCTCAGAGACACAAATTGCCAACCCTGGCAACATCTGGCAGGTTTCCCCCTTCCTTCCACAGATGTGTCAGTACCATCTCATTGCCTTGGCCTTTTGAATGGGGTTATTCAGCATCATCTTCCATCCTGGAGCAATTCAACAAAAGCTTTACACCCATGTATAGAATTTCTGTCTTGCCAGCTGTTTGTTCTTGTCCAAATCCTTCCCCTCAATGCCTGGGCTCAGGGAGCTGCTCCAGCTCACCAGATGGTTCCTTTCTCTTTGGAAACTCAATTCTACTCTACAGATCCCCAAAATAGTGTCTTTTTTTTTGCTTTCAATTTCTCCTTGTGAACTACCTTTGTGCCTAGGAGAGGCCCAAGGAGATGCTCTCCAGGTTAACTGCCCATCTGGAGAAGCAGAGAGACTTTTTGCCTTCCTGTGTCACCTTTCCAGCTTTACTGCTGCAGGAGCATATTCAAAAAAAACAGGTTTAAAGACACATTATTTCATTACAGGCTATAAGAGGGAGTCCCCTGCCTTGGAGGCAGCTCTGGGCAGCTCCTGCTATCAGCACAGCATCCTAAGGGTGCATTTGTGCACCTCATTTCCCATGGGATGGGTTTGTTTTCAGCATCCTGGAGATGCTGATTTTCCATCTCAATCCTGAGAGCCTAATGACTTGGGAATTCTGGTGCCTTTGGCTTTAGAAACTCTTCATCAGGAGGTTCTGAGGCAGCATCAGTCTCAGTTTTTTTCCAAGTGCAGGTGCTGCTAAGTGCTAACCAATTAAGTGCCTTTTTAAATTGAAAACTTGATTGAAATATTCATAGATGCCTTGATCCCTGGACCTGGGAAGTTCCAGTTGGTTTTCTGGACTCTATCTGTGACAAATTTGCAGTATCCAGCAGGTGTGGTGATGGAAGGAAGGGAAACTCAAGCTTTCCTTGCCTGGCTGGCAGAAAAACTCAGGTGTGCTGGCTCAGGAGGGGTTTTGCCAGTTGGGGAATGGTTTGAGGAGCCTGAGTGTGGACAAGGAGCTCTCCAGAGTTGGTTCTTCTGCCCCTCTGCTTCTGGGGTTGGCAAATGGCCTACAAGGCAATGGTGGCTGCAGGACAGCAGGCACTGAGCAGGGACAGGGCTCCTGCCTGGCCAGGGAGCTCCTGCTGGGACCTCTGGCCATTGGCTGGTTGGTCCTCCAGGGTTTCATGATTCCACACACACCAGTGACTCAAAACTAGAGCATCCCCAGTGGAAGGAGAAGGAGCTGAGGGTGAACATGAACTGTGAGTAACTGTATCATGGACACAATGATGGAATCTCAGCATGGCCTGGGTGGGAAGGGACATTTCAAGGCCATCTAGTCCATCCCCCTCCACTGAGCATCTCCAGCTAGGTGAGGTGGCTCAAAACTCCATCCAAACTGACCTTGGATGTTGCAAGGGATGGGGCATCTACCACCTCTCTGGGCAATGAGAATGGCTCAAAATGAAAATAAATGCATCACTGCAGCTCTGGGAATACAGGTGGGGTTTTGTTTTCCAGACTTTCCCTCTTACTGACAACTTTCTAGCCCAGTTTTGGTGGAGAAGTCAAAGCTTGCAACGTTCTCATGAAGATGATGCTCTTCAAAAGAGCATTTCAAGGGGATGGGGTCTCTTAGGTACTCCCAGAGTGTTTCTTTTCAAATGTCCTTATGAGATGAGTAGAAGTTAGTTTGAATTGTCTAGTGAAAGATCTACAAGTGCCATAAATTACTTTAAAACCTGACTCTTCTAAGCCTTGTCTTGGGTGGTGCTCCATCCTCTCTTCTCTTCCACTTGATGAAAGCACCCAAAGGCATTTTTATCCTTTCAAGTTTTTTTTCCCCAGTGTATCAATGTTATCACTTCCATTTTTGTTTTTTTCCCCCCTCCCTTTTTCATTTTCCCCAGGATTGGTGGCCAAATGGTTTAATTATTAAGTGTTTTTCATGCAACTTGAGCTGTTTGGAGATGTAGTTGAGAAGAGAAATACCCTGAGAAGATAATATTGGCTGAAAAGGTCTTCATACCTTAATAATCCTCCCATTTTTTTTCTCCTTTTCTTCCCTTGGGGCAAAAAAAGGAGGTGATTTTAGGAAGCACCATGATTAGGGACTTCAAAATGACTTGTATCCAAAGCACCTCCCAATGGGCCCCACATGTGTTTGTAGATTCATTTGCAGCTTAGACCTTGGTTGTAGAAGGAATGTCCCTTCCCTGCAGGGTGGTGGGAACAAGGCTGGATGTGCTGGAGAGTCAGTCAATGAGGGTCACAAAAGATCAGCACTTCTTGGCAAAAAAAAAATGGGTCCAAACCTCATCCCTTCTGCTCCAAGACTCAAGGGTAGATAACTTCATGGGTTCCTCTTTTCACTCTTCCATCCTGTGTTCAGGTCAGTGCTGCAGGATGGGCACAGGTGGTGTTTCAGAAGAGTCTTCCTGGTTGCTCTTGGGAAAGATGGAGTTGTTCTTTCCTCCCCTTCTCTGAGAAAACACCCAAGTCCTCTGCTTGCTCCTCTCCCTGGGAAACGGGGCAGGCAAAGTGTCTTCTCCTGGTGGCTGGGCTGGAATAAGAACAGGCTGTGAAGTCCCCTATGGTGAGAGCTTGACTCTAGTGCTGTGCAGATGCTGGGGGAGCTGGGAGTGCTCCAGTATCAACCAGTAAGTTACCTGGAGGGGTCCCCAGAGCTGTCAACAGGAGTATGTTTTAAAGCCACTCTGGGCGTGTTTGCGTTCGCCCGTGAACCTTTTACAGGGAAGCAATTTCAATATGCAAAGTGAGCCAAACTGGTTGGAAAACAATCACTCCCGGGTCTGACAAAGATGGGATTTGTTCTGCCCTGCTGCCAAACCCCTCAGCATCATTTCACTCAGCCAGGAAAACCTGCAGTATTGATTTTGGGGATGGAGAATTGATTGTAACAATCAAGCCCCGGGGGCAGCACACGTGCAAAATGGGTGGGTGGGTTCTTTTTTTTTCTATAGCAAGGATGAATTTGATATGCAGCTATTTATGTAGGGGCTAAGCAAGGCAGTAATGGTAATAAATTGTATTTGGTCCAAAACTATCCACTGTGATGGGGTTGGGTTTTCTCTTTGTCTAACAAGCCAGTCACACGGTGCCGTAAGAGCGAGGAAATAGATGCAATTGGGAGGCCCTGCTTGATGGGAAACCCTTAATACCTTTAATACCCTGAGTATTTTCTACCAGTAAAAGCTCTGGAAGGATTAGAGGCTTGGAAGGAACAGCTGGGCCCCAGGTTGTTGCAGCAGGGAAATGTTGATGTAGAGTATCAGTGTTGTTATCAGTCGAGGCCAGTAAACCTGGTGGTTTTGCTGGGCAAATTGATGGGGACTGTAAGAACAGGGTGAATAGACACAGGGATGAACATGAGATGATGAGGTGGGGGGATCAATACAGCTTTTGTGGAGGGAAGTCTGGCCTCACGTGCCTGTTGAAGCCCTTTGAAGGCATCCTTGAGCACGTGGGGGAGGAGATCTGGTTGATATGGGTGGCTTGGCTTTCCTAAAGCTTTCTGATAAGATCCTTCACAAAAGGCTCCTGAAGAAATGAAGCTGCTGCAATGTAAGGAGAAAGATCCTTTGGTGATAAGAAGCTGATGTGATAGGGAGCAAAGGATGGAGAGGGGTGGTGGCTGGGGGGCTGGTGCTGGGGTGCTGGGCTCCTGCAGAAGGTGGAGGGTGAGGAACCAAGGGAAACAGAAGTACCAGCTGATTGTTAAAATCCTGAGAGAGCTGGGAGATGTAAAAAAGCAATGAAAAATGCCTGTGGTTAAATAGAGGGGGATGCAGAAAGAGCCTGTGTCCCTGCTGCTGGGCCCTGGCTGGAGGGTGACCTCAGGATGGAGGTCTTGCTGCTGATGTGGAGGTAAAAGCCCTGCTGAGTGTTGGGGTTGGCTGGGAAATGAGAAGAAAAATGGTCACTGCAGAGTGGCCCAAACCTGCTGTGCACCCTCTGCCATGGGCAGGGGGGGAAAGGGCCAAGAGAAAGTGGTGGGGATGGGCAAGTCCATGGACTGGCTTCTGTATTGTGGTGAGAAAAACTCCTGCAGACCTTTCTGCAAGGAGAGAGGTGGCAGAGATGGGGGCCTGGCTGTGTCAGGAGCCAGCAGGGAGGGAGGGGGGTCAGTCTGGGCTGTGAGGTTGAGATAAGGTCCCTCAGCCAACCTAGCAAGGAACATCTGGGGCCAAAAAACAGGGCTTGGTCTCAGGTGGGGATGGGCTGGAGGAAATGCCTTCAGGTGTTGGGCTCAGCAATCAGTCCATTCCCAAGAGGTTGGATGGAACAGAGGGTGCAGGAACATCTGTGGGATGAAAATGGCCCAGATGTGTCAGAGCTGCTCAGGTGAGTGTTTGTGTCCTCGAGGCAAAAAGAGGCAACTTGGGCACTTTGGGCTGAAAAACTAAAGGTGTTTCAGTGGCTGCTCAACCCCAGAGCTGGTGTTGCCACTAGTGGGGGTGTCCTCATGTCTGTTGGAATGAAAAATGCCTGAAAAATATCTTTTTTAGATGTGATTTGTTCTTCTTCTCCAAGCACCAACTGAGTTTGAATGGACGTTGCTATGAAAAAATGTACCTTCTTTTTTATTCCCTTCCCCCCCAGTTCATTTTATGTGCTTTACTTGCCAAAAAAAAAAGAGAGCAACCAAAAAAAAATCAAGTCAACAATAATCTCTCTTCTTTTCCAGAGCATCAAAGTGAGCTGGTTGCCTCCACCACCAGGTACTCAAAATGGATTTATTACAGGCTATAAAATCCGACACAGAAAAACCACCCGCAGGGGGGAGATTGAAACACTGGAGCCCAACAACCTCTGGTACTTGTTCACAGGTCAGTGTTTGTGTGGTACAGCCTGGCAAGGTTTTGATGAATGAAATGCTTGGGGAATAAAATAGACTTGCACTTCCAGGGTACATTGATTCCTGGGCTGGCAGGAGGCATTTATTGTGGTGTACAAAAGCAGGTGGGGTTTGTGTTGGGGTTTGGTTTCCTTTTCAGACCTGTTTTTTCTTTCCTTCCTGCTTTAATATTTGGATTTTAGCATTCATGAATTGGAAGGTGCATTTTTTTTTTGATGTCCAGTTTCTCAAACCTCAGGTGGTCCCGGGTGCAAAAAAGACCAGTTTCCCTAATGTTCTTGTCCAAGATGGTCAGTGGAAAATGTCTCCTTGGAGAATTAAAAAGTGCAACAGTCGACCACAGTGAAACTCAAATTGGGATGAGTGGAGCCAGATGAGTAATGGGAGGGAAACAGGGAGTGGTGGTGGGTGAAAAGGAACTTCCCCTTGGCTCTTGCCCAAGACAGAAGTGAGAAAGCAGCAAAACACCCAGGGAGAAAAGCCAAGTTGGTCAAAGTTTTGCCCCTGAATTCAGTCTCACCACGATTTCACCTCAAATGACCTGCTCTGTGTTTGCTTTCACTTGGTAATTGGTGAGAATCAGAAGTGGTTCTGAATGGCATATTTTAGAATAAAGCCTGTTGCTTTCACTTTTGGAAGGAAAAGCAGCATTTTCTTTCAAATTGAAAGAAAGGCAAAGGTAAAATGTGATTAGGAGGAAGATCTTAAATGCTGAAATCTCAACTTGGTCATCTCATAGAGTCACAGAATGGTTTGGGTTGGAAGGGACCTTCCAGACTATTTAGATCCAACCCCCCTGCATGGGCAGGGACCCCTCCCACCAGCCCAGGCTGCTCCAAGCCCCATCCAACCTGCCCTTCAACGCTGCCAGGGATGGGGCAGCCCCAGCTTCTCTGGGCAACCTGGGCCAGGCTCACACTACCCTCACACCAAAGAATTCCCTCCTCATGTCTCCCCTCACTGTCCCCTCTTCCAGTTTTCATCCATCCCTCTCATCCCATCCCTCCCTGCCCTTGTCCCAAGTCCCTCCCCAGCTTCCCTGGAGCCCCTTCAGGCACTGGAAGCTGCTCTAAGGTCTCCCTGGAGCCTTCTCTTCTCCAGGCTGAACACCCCACCTCTCCCAGCCTGGCTCCAGAGCGGAGCTGCTCCAGCCCTCCCAGCATCTTCATGACCCTTCTCTGGCCTCTCTCCAACACCCCCAAGTCCTTCTCCTCAGGGCTGCTCTTCATCCCTTCTCCACCCAACCTGTACCTGTACTGGGGCTTGTTTTGTTCCACATCTCTTGGCACGACATGTTTTAGAAATCAAGGAGGCAACATCCAGCCCTCATTATTCCTTTCCCCATGTGCCCATGGTGATGGCTGGAGCTTTGTGGCTCTTCTACATGGACACTTGAAATATGAACCTGCAGGCACTGCAGAGCTTTGCTGCCAACTGATTTGGCAGGCAGGGGCTTTACAGGATAACAACATCTGCAAGAGCAAAAGGAGCTGAGAGTTAAGACTGCAGGTTTTTAAACAGTCCATTTTGGAGTAGGTTTCCATGTCATGTTCAACTGCTCTTTTTAATGAGGAGTGTCCATCTCCAGACAGGTTTGCAATGAGATGGGGCAGTTTTTTTACCTGTGGTCAGTGTAGGTGGAGGAAAAAGATGAACTGATATCCCCACCTCAGGGAGATATTGTGGCACATTCAGGAAGGTTCTTGTTTTCTGATGGCTTGAGCCAGAGAGGAAAACATCATGTTTCTGAATTCATGCTGATTTTATGATATGAGTAAGACTTTTTATTGGGTTTCTTTGGTTGTTTTAGTGGTTTGTTGGGGGTTTTTTTGCCTGAACTGTTTGCTCTGAAGTTCATCAGGAGCACTGGGAAGCACAACAGTTCCAGTCACTAACTTGGTTTTCTAGCCTGCAAATTTAATGCCTGAGGGGACTGAACCAGCAGTTCCTTGCATGTTAAAAGCACTGAGCTTGTGTTGTTGGGTGTGCAATGAATGGCTCAGTTATGTAAAACAATTCTTCAATTTCCTGCTACTTGGGCTTCCATTGATTTTTGATGCATGAAAACAACGGATGGGAATTGTGACCCAAAACAGTCCTGGACTGGTGCAGCCCTTGGTTAGTTTTTGAATCAGCAGGACCAGGGAGGGGATTGTCCCCTCTGCTCTGCTCTGCTGAGACCCCCCTGCAGGGCTGGGGCCAGGGCTGGGGTCCCCAGCACAGGAAGGACATGGAGCTGCTGGAGAGAGTCCAGAGGAGGCCACAGAGATGCTGGGAGGGCTGGAGCAGCTCTGCTCTGGAGCCAGGCTGGGGGAGTTGGGGGGTTCAGCCTGGAGAAGAGAAGGCTCCAGGGAGACCTTAGAGCAGCTTCCAGTGCCTGAAGGGGCTCCAGGAAAGCTGGGGAGGGGCTTGGGACAAGGGCAGGGAGGGATGGGATGAGGGGGAAGGATTAAAATTGGAAGAGGGTGGACTGAGGTGAGACATGAGGAGGAAATTCTTTGGTGTGAGGGGGGTGAGAGCCTGGCCCAGGTTGCCCAGAGAAGCTGTGGCTGCCCCATCCCTGGCAGTGTTGAAGGGCAGGTTGGATGGGGCTTGGAGCAGCCTGGGCTGGTGGGAGGTGTCCCTGCCCATGCAGGGGGTTGGAACTAGAGGATCCTTAAGGTCCCTTCCACAACCCAAACCAGTCTGGGATTCTATATATGCCTTTCCATATTCTCCCTTCAATATGGCAAATCCAAGGCACCACGACCAGAACATTCATTTCACCCAGAGGCTGTTGCAGACTCAGGTTTTGTCATGAATTTGATCTTTTTTTCATCTTTTTTTTTTTTTTTTCCTTTTTTTTTTTTTTTGGTTTATGTTTGTTTTTTGTTGTTGTTGGTTTGGTTTTGGTTTCACCAGGACTGGAGAAAGGAAGCCAGTACAGTTTCCAGGTGGCTGCCATGACAGTGAATGGGACAGGACCCCCCTCGGACTGGTACACGGCAGAAACCCCCGAGAACGACCTCGATGGTAAATGCATCTCTCCTCAAAGCTGTTGTCTCCCCTAGCTGAGGGGTGTCACTGCCTTTGGCACCCACTGAGGTGCCTCACCACCCATCGTGGGTGTTTTCTTCTACTCCTGGATCCCACGTGCCCTGTGTTCTGCTTCTCTGTCGTCACCTCGAACCGAGGAGCCGCAATTCTTTGTCCGACTCATTCTCTGCCAGAATGGAACCCTCTGAACTTCATCAGTGAGAAACTGAATCAAAGAAACAATAAAAACGATGCCAACAGTGCCAACAGTTCCCTGAGCAAATATTCCAATAGGCTAAACCCTCTTTTTCAGGTGATAGAAATGCAGGTAGGCAATGAAGCTGAACGATGAGTGTGAAATGCTGGGGTGCAGATACCTGAGAACTGTGGGCTGTCTAAAGCAGTGCAGATGCTGACACAAAAGGGAAGCCCAAAGATTGCAATGAAAGGGTGAGGCTGGGAGATCTGAAGTAAGAAAAGAATAAAAGGAGGGTAATGAAAAAGTCTGCCTAAAAAAAAAAAGAGAAATTAGACAGAGTGCAAATCAAACGGAACAAAGAGTCTGACAGGTGGAAGTCACAGCAAAACTACAGACAATCCATAAGGAGCAAGTGTGCAGGAGGAAGGAGATGAATAGAAAAAAAAATAAAAGGAAACTGATGAAAATGGCTCTGTTTTTTAAAAGAAAGGAAGGCACCTAAAAAGGATCAAAGGTAAAGTGGATGAAAGAATAAATAAATAATCAGTTTAAATGCGCTGATTTTCCTTTGCTTTTGACTGGCCGGATTTCCTTAGGATCTCAAAAATCAGCCCTTGCAAATGGAAGAATTACTGCCTTTCCCTCTGCCCAAATGTGATTTTCCAGCAGGCCAGGAGTGCCCACAAAGTGGGAGCACCAGGACCTGGGGTTTCTGCCCCCTGGGTTGTAAAGAAGAGGTGATGATGCTTCTAGACGTGGTCCAACTATCCTAATGGATCCCAACATCCCGTGGTGCATGATTTCGAATGATGCTTTGGCTGGAAATGGAGCTGTTGAGGTGCAAACAGCTGAGTTTTCCCTGCAGAGCTTTGCTTTTCAGTGCCCAAGCCATTCCTCTCAAGTTCTGCTGCCCAAATCCACGGGTGCACTCAAAGGTGCCAGTGGAGCAGTCACAGGAGACGCGGGATGGAAGTAGGTGCGTGTTAATTCATCCCAGCCAAGCCATTTTGGTCGTGTGTTGCATTTCCATGCATTTGCATTTGCAGGAGTGATGAATGACCCTGGTGGATGGTGGAAACAGTTTCTCTTGTGTTCCCTGTAAGCCTGGTTGGCATCAGCAACACAAAGATGAAGCGTATCCTGGCGAGCGGCGCCAGCTCCCGTCGGAGATTGATTTTAATTAGTGTGTTTTGTTGGAGTGATTAGAAATCCAAACAGAGCTGCTTCTTCAAGGTTCCCTAGAAAGCTCCCCTGCCTTTCCTGACAGCTGGGGAGGTTTCAAATATTTATTTTAAGCCTCAAATGCAGTGCTTTAAGAAGACAAAACAGAAATACAAGTAGGACTTGAAAGCGGTGCTTTCCCCAGGGGGGTTGTTTTAAGTAGCTCGAGCAAGGGAATCTCCCATCAACTTTGCAAAGGTTTCCTCCCCAAAAATGGGTTGAGGGTGGTGGGTTTCTGCTTGCTGCATGGAACAGGTGGAAGGTGTTATCCATGTAGATGGTGATACAGTTCAGCTCCAGCTCTAAATTAGTGCTTGAAGAGCACGACAAGCTCGACGCTGTCATCTTGTCATTTATACTGGGAAGTGACTGGGGAAGAAGATGGGCTGAGTAAAATCTCTCCTGACTTTGTTGTACATCTTTGAGTGGCTAAGAAAATTGCTGGAGTGACCCAAGTGGGCTGCATTTTTCAAGCTTGACAGTGGAATTAGGGGCCTTGAAGTAGCACCAAGCACACAGTTCCCTGGATGGAAGATGCAGGTGCTTGAACCATCATGTAGAAACACAGTGAAAGACCTGGAGGACTGTGTGAGCAGATGGGGCATCCCAGGAGGAGATGTCACACCACACAGTGACACAGAACTTCAGCTGCCATGTTTTGGGGACCTAATTTTCCACAAATAAAGAGTAAGAAGTGCAGCCCTGGGAAATCTGGTTTCATCAGCAGATCTCATGAGGAGTTGTCCTCCTGCTGGTCCATGGGGCTGGTTGAAACCCACAGCTCATGGTTCTGACCACACCACGTGCTTACAAATACCCCAAGACTTCCCAACGTGAGAGCAAGTGAGAAACTCTTGGTGCCATTAAAAGGGGGACTAAAAATTGGGCTCCTTTGGGAATAAGGATGAAGAACTTCTTGGGCACTTCATGTAGGAGAACGGGATCTCGAGGTGGCTTCTCAGAAGTTGTCCTGACATCATGTGTCCAGGAGATACAAAAGGAAACTTACTGGGCTAAATTGCAAAGAAGTGGCCTGACAAAGCAAGAATATGAGGTCAGGAGGAGTTTTGCTCCTGGATATCCAAGTGCTGGGCCACTGAAAATCAGCAGAGCCCTGCAAGGGCTGGATGGGCCTTTTCCTGGAGACCTGATGGGTTTAGATATTTGGCTGTGTGATAAGTTGGGCAGAATTCCTTGCTGTTGCAAGCATGGTTCATTGTCATTAGAACCACAAATGCTTGATTTAAGGAGAGAAAATCATTGATTATGGCATTTAACTTTGTATTTTGGGTTGTGAAACACATGGCACAGGGTGTAAAATTTGGAGCTGGGTCAGAATTAAGAGAAGTGGGGGTTTTTTTCCCAGAAAATGTTTAAAAGTAAAGCTAATGAAGACATGATTAAAATGGCTTTATACAGAAAGCTGAAGGAAAAGACTGTTCAATAAAAAAACCCAGCTCTGTGTTGATGAAATGTTGTTATAAAAGAGTTCAGAGATTCATTCTATAGGTGATAATAAGTAGTTGAAAAATGTTGCTTCATTCTAGGGACTTAATTCACAGGAAGGGTGCAAGAAGTGAAGCTGCCTTTTGCTTTCTGAAAGGCACCAATCACCCATTTGAATAGCTTGATCTGAAGCATGGGTGAAATGTTTGAATAAAGCAGTTTTAACCTAAGCAGCTGCCTCAAGGTGTCTGGGCTGCAGCTGAAAAGCCTGTGCATGTCAGAGGTCAAAATGATCATGGGAAGGCCTCTGGATGCTCTGATTTCCTTTGCTGCCTGGGAATTGCTCCTCTGGGGAAGTTTTGGAGGGATTGCTGCCTTCTCCAGCTTCTCATTTCAAGGCATGGAATTGTTCTTGTCTCTCTGGGGCTGGTCAGAAATGCTTCTGCTGGTTGGTTTGCAAGCAGAGCTGGTGAGGACGAGCTGCCCCAGGAACTTTTCCTGCTGCATTAAAGCAAAGGCTGGGAGAGGAGGGGGGGGAAATGGCAACTTAACCTGACGTGCAGTGGCACTACTGGTGCAAACTGTTTCTTCTTCTCTGTTTTTTTCCCTTATGAGTAGTGACTTTTTCAGTGAATTTCCCTCGACCTTTAAGCAAGAGCCATGGTTTGCAATTGTAAGGAGTCGAATGCAAAAGGACTTCTAAAGTGTTTCAGACTGGTAATGGACTCCTCAGACATCCCTGAAGGTGCCACAGGTTTTCCAAGGACTGGAATGGGTTCATCAGAGCTCATCTGAAGGCACATAAAAATGCCAAGGACACCAGGATGGCTCTGGTTGTAGAAAAGGGTTGATCCTTCTTTTTATTACCTTTTCCAAGGTTTACAGTGGGAATGCTTCACAACTGCAAAGTGGCTTTTGTTGGGGTTTACACCAGTTTATCTGAGGAGTGTTTTTTTCTAGCCTGTCCTTGGTGCCTTGCCTATAAGCTGTCATCTGTTATATTGCAAGCCTTTTTATTGGGGGGAAAAAATAGTGACTTGTCTCTTTCTGCTCTCAAAAAGACAAGCTACTGTGCAGCTCCTCTGAAGAGACTTGTGATATGATAGTTATGGGGTAAACTCCAACAAAAGGCATTTTCTCACCCAACCTTGATAATAAAATTAGGCTTCTAGAAGGCAAATAGACTCGCAGTGATTCATTACCCCTTGAATTTTACCTGGCAATGCCTGTAAATCAAAGGCCTCATTGGATGAATTCATTTTGGAAGTGTTGGTGGGTTATTTGAAGCAGCTTCGAAGCAAGAGATGCCCACCCAGGAGGGAAAATGCACTTCTTGATTTCATAGGAAGGAGACAGCTGGTTGCCAGAATCTACTGGTGTGTTGCTGCCAAAAGGAAACCTTGTCCTTAAATAATCTGTGAGCACCAAGCTCCTGCAGTCAGTTGTCAGGATCCTGCTGGGCCTGTAAATAGGGTGGGGGAGAGAAGAGTCGTCCCACTGCAAATTCTTTTTGGGGGTCAGGAATTTGAGTTGAAATCTCTCTTGTACCTTCATGCTACAGATGGAAAGGAGCAGGAGATGTTCTGTTTAATAGAGGATGAGGGTCTTGGAAGGGAAGGATGTAGCTCCAATGAAATTGCATGTGACTCTTGGTGCTTTTTGTGTCCATCTTCTCACCTCGGCTCAAACCTCGAGGCGAACATTAATTTGCTACTCTTCTCTCTTTTGTCCCTTTGAATCCCAGAATCTCAGGTTCCTGACCAGCCAAGCTCCCTCCACGTCAGGCCCTTGACAACAAGCATTGTCATGAGTTGGACTCCCCCTCTGAACCCCAACATCGTGGTCCGTGGCTACATCATCGGCTACGGCGTGGGCAGCCCCTACGCCGAGACCGTGAGGGTGGACAGCAAACAACGTTACTACTCCATTGAAAACCTGGGTAGGTGATTGCTCTCCCTCATTTCACTTCCCCCCCCCCAAAAAAAAAGGTTCCTCTGAGCTGAGGCTCTTTTTGGAGGCTTCTTTTCAGGCTGGTGCTCCCTTGCTGTGGTGCTTTCTCAGGATGCTTCTACGTTCCGTTGTACGTTTGGTCTCTGGACACTCTCAAGATGTCAGGGTGTTGGTTTTTATTATCAAATGCTTATTTTATTCAATGGATTTTACTAAGTCCTAATACTGACTCCCACATGTGCAGAGAGCTGAACCCAGAGGTGTTATTCCTTGGGCTGATCCTTCCTATGTTTGAATTTAATGACCACGGCAAAGTTCCTATTTTGCGTCTGTCCAAGCGGTGCCGAGAGAGAGGTGGTTATTCATTATTCATGGCCTAGCCTCTGTCACAGCTCATCTAAATTCTCAGCATGGTACACAGGGACCTGGATCCTTCCAGTGGTGACCGACCCTTCTCCTAGCACTGGGAAGCAGTTTAAAAGAAGCCTAACAAAGTTGAACTGGTTTCTTCGCCGTTTCTTCTTTAGCGCTTTTATTCCAGGGAAAAATGAGAAGATTTCTGCTTAGTGTTCTGGGAATGAGCAGATATTACAGGAAGGTTTGTTATCTTGGTGCTTTAGGGGTGCACACCTGGGCTAGTGATCTCAATTCTGCTGGACCAAAACTCTCTGAGATCTGGAGAAGCTTTTCTTTCAAATCAGTATTTCACATCAAGCCGCATCAGCCGACATTTTTACGGTCCCCTCGACCAGGGGAGCAGAAGAAACTGGTTTTACTGTTATTTCATCCAACAGCTTCACTACGTCCAGGTGTATATTTTATGATGGCAAAAAGGCCCACGTAAACACTCCCAAACATTTGGTGGGTCCTGCAGAAAAAGACAGATGGGGTTGTTTTGTGCAAGTGGGATGTTACTGTGCAAAATCTGCCCGGACTGCGGGAGGAAATTCTGTGGAATATAAAGATGAAAAGCTTTTCCTAATAGTCTAATAACTGATGGTCAGGGTTAAATACAACCTATTTTCTTTTTTTAGTTACAAAATTCTCCCAATTTCAATTTTCCCAAGCCTGTTTTAAGTTGTTTTCTATCTTTAATGAGTTTTCGTTGAGTCTTTCACCCCCGTCGACCCAGAAATATGAGAAAAGAAAATGATATAAACAGAGTTATTTAAACCACTGGGTTTGGGCTTTGGAAAAAAGGGAAGAAGATCCCTACACAGCTCCATTGGATAGAGTTCCTAGTGGTCAGCTCTGATGAATATAGTCTTGATTAACAACTGGAGAAATGTCTTGGGTTTTGTGGAGCTTCAGTGCTTGGTTTCCTTCGTCCATTAACTGACCAGTGGATGTATTTGCTCCTAGGACCTCTGGTAGCCACTGCCACCAGGTGGAAGAGACACTAAGAATCATGTGCAGGTAGAAAAGCCTCCTCAGAGGGTAGCTACACGTGGGATCTGGGGAAAGCTGGTGGTGCTTGAGCTATTAGAACTGTTTCTGTGCATTAAAAGGCTTCTCCCATCATCTTGGTTGTGCTGGCAGGCAGAAGCAAATAGCAAGTCCAGCAAGTCAGGGAGGATGTCCCACTAACATGCTTTAATTAAGAGAAGTAACACTCAGACACCTAGAAAATGGCAAGAAACTCTTGAGCATATCAAATATTTAGCTACTAATAATTCAGTCACCAAAGGGAGAGTTGGGTTGGATTTTTTTTGGCTGAGCATCCTCCAGCAGGCTGAGGTTTCATGGAAGTTCTTAATCATTCAAATGCAAAGTGTCTCTTCCCTGTCTGGGGTTTTTTTTTGTTGGATTGCAAATATTCTACATGTGAAGAGTGTGACTTCATTGTCCAGACAAGCCAGATGCATCTGGTCCCTAAGTGGAGAAGGCTGCAAGGATTTTGGTCACAAATCCTGAGGTGCCTGTTTTAAATGACTCCTCTGAAGGTACAACTTTGCAAATCAGTTTCCATGAATCATTGCACTCCTGAAATCCCAGCATTTCAATATCCACAGAAATGAACCTCTGAGGGATGTGACCAAGGGCCCAGAGAAAGCTTTTAAAAAATTAGAACAGTTGCCAAGCCAACACTTCCTACATTATTTACCCACTTAATTAGAAACCATTGCAAGGAAATGGCACTAAATGGTGAGGCTGAATGATTTTCCTAATAAAAATGCTGTTTTCATTGTAGTTATGAATCAAAAATTGCTGCTGGCAGGAATGAGGGGGGAAAAAACACTTCCTAGATGTTATGTGGGCTCATCCCACCTGTTGGAAAAGCTCCTGTGAAACCTCTGCATGAGGGATATACTTGATCTTCAATGTGAAAGCCTGATCATCCAGGTCCTTGTCAGGCAATATTTGACTTCTATAAGCTGGAGTCCTGAGAGAAAGGATGGTGAGGAACTTCTTTGGTGAAACTAGTGCCAAGTTGGGTTGGACAGGGCTGTGAAACACTCAGACACCACGTGTGTGTGTGTGTGTATGTCCAGATATGCCTGATTTTTTATTTCCTTGGGACAATTTTCTTCTCCCTGGGTTCCCACCTGCACAAAAGCACCTCCTGGACATCTTTGCAAAAGCCTCCCAGTTGAGAGGGGGAGAAGAGGGATGGATGTAGGTGTTGAGAGGGGAGGCTCACAGCCCCCAGACTGGCTCACTGGCTTTATTCTCTTCCAGCTACATTCCCCTGGACATTCCTGCCCTTGTCATCCTCCTTTGCCTGGTGGTTCCTGCTGTAGGTGTGTGACAGGGTTGCTGGAGCAACTCCTGCTTGGTGGATGTGGATTTAAGCCCAGGACTGTAGGTCTTCTCTGTAGGCAGGTTGTGGAGAAGCTGGTAGCTTCACTTGTGGTCTTGATATGTGGGTGGTCAAACCTTGGTGATGAAATGGAACTGCTGTTTAGCTCTGACTGTTTTATCCAGCTTTAGGTGTTGTAACTGAGTCACCAGAATTTGAGCCCTATCAGCCCATGTTACTTCTCTAGTCCATCAATCATAGAATCACAGACTGGTTTGGGTGGGAAGGGGCCTTTCAAGGCCACCCAGTCCAACCCCCTGCAGTGAGCAGGGACATCTGCACCTGGAGCAGGTTGCTCAGAGCCCTGTCCAACCTGAGCTGGGATGTTTCCAGAGATGGGGCATCTCCCACCTCTCTGGGCAACCTGGGTCAAGGTCTCACCACCCTCAGTGTAAAAAATGTCTTTCTAATATCTGGTCTAAACCTCTGCTCTTTCAGTTTAAACCCATCAACCCCTTGTCCTCCCTCTGCAGGCCCTGCTAATCAGTTTGTCCCCCCTGTTCAAACAGGAAAAGACACCAGCAAGGAAAGTTCAGCCCATTCAACAGCTTGATCATCTGACTCTTTCTCCATGTTGCCCACAGTGGATGGTCCATAATGGTAACTTCACCATGGTGGGCATTGCTAGACACTAGGATTAGCTGATGAAACTCCAGAGGTCTTTATAACTTCAGTGTGCTCTTAATGATGGACTCAGAATCCTTCCTGAGTGGAACTTACTGGGTTTGGGTGGGAGTCAGGTATGGAAGTCTCTTTAGAAACCCTGATAGACACTTCACTTTCATAATCCTCAGTACTTTCAGAACTCTGCTTGAAGGTACAAGGCTTGGAAGAGATGGACAAGCTCCTGAAGTGGATCTCCCAAAGGGGAATGATGGACTTACCTACACACTTGTGGAGTGACCTGCTTTTTAGCTCCATCCCTCTTGGCAACAGGAGTGGAAGAGCAGCAGGCAGGAGTCAGCTGGCAGCTTTACATCCCAGTTCAGGGGACTTAATGGATTCCTTCCTTGAAGCAAAACTTGTTTCATGGTTGACTCAGATTGTGCCCAAGCTCTTAGAGCACTTGTCTGGAGCACTTCAGCTATTGACTAAAATCACTTCAAATACCTGAAGAAAAGCACTTGCTCTTTGATAATGGTGATGGAGATCTTTCTTCTGTGTGATGATCATCTTGACTACAACAGGAGAGGGGTAATGCTTCTGCTCTGGATTGAATTACAGTGGGCATATTGCCTTGGAGACACCCTCCCCAGGTGCTGAAGAATAGCAGGGTATCCAAAGCTTTCAGCTTTGGCAGGGAAGAATTGGTTGTATTTCCTTTCTGCAGTGGATGAAAGATACTCCATGTCAGTCTCAGAAGTTTCAGGAGCCAGCATCTCCCCTCCTTTTGGTCCATCTTTTCTGTGGCAGAGAACTCAATGCTTGACTGACTCTCAAATGAATATGGAGACCCACTTAATGGTTTTCTCCCTCTCCCTTTCCTTCTTCTTCTCCATTTCCTTCTTCTTCTCCCTTTCCTTCTCCCTCTCCCTTTCCACTCTCTCTCCCCTCTCTTCTATCCCCTCCTCTCTCTCCCTTCTCTCTTATTTTTGAATTCTTTGCTTGGGATTATAAATAACAAGGTTATTGGCTGATTAATGGGAGTTTTAACAAGACTGAAAAATTCCCAGATGCTAATTCAGATCTTTTACTCCTAAGAAGGAACAAGTTCTTTGTTGATCCAACTCAGAAGGCATTAAATGTTGTCATGAACAGACTGGACTCACTGAGCTTTATTTTAAAGCTTCTTCATGAAGTAAAAGCTTCAAAGAACAGGCAAGAAATATGCCAAGGAGATGTCCATTAACCAGCTCTGCAAACCTAAACTCCAAAAGATCTGAACCACCACACTGGCTGTAACCATGTGCATAGAACTTGTTGGAGATCCTAGAACCTTGTTTGTAAATCATGTCTTGGAAAAAGGAACTGATCAGGAAATGTAATTCCACTGGCAGCCACAATAATGCTTCCATCTGCAAAATGCCTGAAGACTTTCCATGAGAAAAATGTGTATAAAAAGGAGTATTTGACATCTATTCAGACCATTCAAAAACTAAAGATGGGAAAGCTGCACCAAATCCCACAGTCTTAGAGAACTCTGGACTTTCTTCTTCAGGGCCCATCCCTTCTCTCCGTGAGCACAGAAG